AAGAGCGTCACCAATTAGCACAGGGCACAGAAGCAATCAGTAGCAATCCACAGAGCATGGTGCTTATCCTGCAGTCACAGGGTGCCAACAGCAGTGGCACAGTCTCCCAGCACCCACAAGGCAAGGCAGCGTCCTGACCCAAGGGAAGTGGGCAGCCCTCCCTTTCCCAGCCTCCAGACCTCCCCCTGCAGCTAGCAACTGTCACACCTTTTGGCGACGAGGTGACGATCTTTGACCTCAGAGCGTTCAAACCAGACGTGGGGGCAAGCTTTCACCATGGCTCTCTGGATCACGCCCATGAGCCCTCCATGGATCTGACCCACCTGAACAGGGCAAGAAGACACAAGTTACAAGACCTGGGGACACACGGAAGGCCAAGGCAGCTCCTAGCTTCACAGCCAAGTTGAGGTTCATCTTTGTACCCCTGTCCTGGAAAGGCTGAGAGGAAAATTTCCAGATTCTGACCGGAAGGGCAGATGTAGCAAGCCCCAAGTGCTTTCCACATTGCCGGAGGTCCAGCTGGGGAAGTGCTTTGCTTTGCCACGGACAGCAAAGTCCAGAGCTCTACCTGCAAAGCAGTGCCCAGAGACCCCTGGTGCTCCAAGTCCCAGGCCAAGCTTGCTAGAAAGCCACGCACAAGGGGGATCTGCGCACAGGGTCTGAGGGCCCTGTGATGTCACGCAGGGACAAGTAGTTCTGCGTGCTCGAAAGCCTCTTGTTGCCTTTTCCCATGCAACGTGCTTGCTGCTGGCATGTGGCCAGGCCCTGGCAGGCAGAGCTGGGGTCGGGGTGCGGACCTTACCATCGCATAGTAGCCATCGCTGGCCAGGATGATCACATCAATGGGAGATGTGTGATTGGCCACGCAGATGCCTCCATTTCGGGGTCTGTTTTCTCTAAACGCAGAACAAAGGTACAGATGAGGAGAGAGGAACGAAGCATGAGACCTGCAAGAGGCACCACATGGAGCAGCTAGTGGGAAGGGACACCTGCAGCAGACAGCGCCTCCTTACCGGTCATGGTAGGTGATGATGGCTGTGAGGGCACGCACACAGATCCGGTAACACATCAGGTGGACATGCTTGCTCAGGAACTCCTTACACCTGCAGCCCAGGACAGAGACCATCACCCCACAGCCCTACAATCTCCCCTGTAACCACCCCACTCAGCCCACCTGCCCCAGGCCATGAGATCCAACCGAGGCTTCACCTCTCTCCCATAGAAACATGTCTCGTCCTGGTTTTTGCCATCAGCTTATGACCACTGATTCTTAACTCATGAGAACCAAAGTTTGGCCTTTGCTCTTTTCTGTTCTTATTCTTTTCAGAGCCCAGGGCTGAGCGCTCTGCCATGGGCTTAGTGCTCACATCTAGGCCCTTTGTTTAAAATTACGGGGTGTCTGTTCCTGAGAGGCTACAGATGCCAGGACCACCTGCCTTGCCTGCAGCAGGCGGAACAGATAGGCCTTGCAGGAAACCTTCAGGATCATCAGGTCTCAAACTGCACAGGGGGCCCTCTTCCTCCAAAGGTGAACTCACCTTCCATTTGGCAAATATCCCACCACTGTCGTACCAGTCACCAACAAGCTGATGCCAGTGAACGCCAGGGCTATCCTGCAGAAAGAGGAAAGCTACAGGGTAGCAAAACCAGGTCACAGGCCCCGCTCATCAAGCAGCATGTCTCTGCTGATCATGTTGAACAGGGTCCATGGGGCCTGGAGAAGTCGTGCTTGCTGCAGAGAGGCCACCAGCACCACCTCAGCAGGCAGGTTCCCGCAGCAGCGCTCACCTGAGGGGCAGAAGGAAGCAGTAGCGGATGAGCACACCCAGTCCCCAGAGTACAGTGAGGCGCAGGCTGATATACTGGAAGTTGTAGTTGGTCCTGCTGAGCAGGTTCCAGGACTCCAGCTCTTCCGCTGAGAACCTCTTGGTCACTTCATCATCCATGATGGTCTCAATGCCTTTGCGGCAGAAATAGAAGATATCTGAGAGCTCAAACTCAGGGGTGTCCAGGGCTTTGCCACTGCCACTTCGGCGGATCTCCTTGATTTCCTCTTCCAGTGACGTTGGGTCCTTTGCAATGATACCTGCAACATGCAGCAGGCAGCTCTGAGCAAAGTGCGACTTGCCCATTCAAAGAGAGCCGAGAACCAGGGCTCTTACTCGCCTGCCCTCCGCAGGGCCCCCCTTCCTTTCTTCCAGTCCAGACAGGCATAAACCAGTCCTCCCAACTATCTAGAAATGAAGCATTTCCTGGGTGCTTCCCTCCCCTTCCTCACAAAATGGAACTTTCCATATCTCCCGCCGGTCTATCTACATGGAAAAGGCTTCCCAGCACACCTCGGCTGCTCGAGACACCACATTTACCCCATCTCCCATACAGAATTTTGAACTTCATAGGTACCCACGCGGGGCAGGATCTTACCATTGACATAGGGCTTGTATAATGGATGGTTCTTCTCCTTAGCACCACGCTCTATTCTGAGTGTCGCCCACTGCAAGAGACACGCATGACAAGGAAGATTTGCAAGGCTGGCAGCTCCACTTCATACTCCCCCTGTTTTACAGTCAACTTCCAGGGAAAACCACGGCTAAGGGGAGAAGATGGGGCTAAAGCAGGAGGCCTCTGTACAGAACCAAAAGAGTGGCGAACATAGCTGAACCAAGGTGGAGGCAGAGACTGGCCTGGGAAGAACATTTGTACAGCACGGACCTGCCTGCAATGGGACAAGAGGACCGATGGGGAGGTGACTAGCACGGGCGTAGGACAGCCATGATGTGCACACGCGTGTGTGCCATTCTGCACAGCAGAGCCCCGTCGGGAAGCAGGGGGTGCCAGGGGGAAGACAAGCGCTCAGTGGTGAGATGGCACAGCAAGATTTTCTGCAGCCTCCGTGTCCCACAGGCTCTGTGGCACCTGGCACGTGGCTGCCACTGCACAGCCTTTGGGCGGACGGTGCATCCCGCTGGGGTGGCCCGCACCACAGCGCAGGAAGCCAAAACACGGGACTGGTGCTATTTTTCAACCCCCATTTCTTCCAAGCGCAAAGCAGAGACTGTGTTTTCAGGCTGCTGCTAAAGACATCAGGCTGAGGACGGGATGGGATCCTTCCCTCCCTGATCCAGCTAACAGCTGCTGCTTCTCAGCTCAGTCCAAAACAGCAGCAGCAAGCACTCTCTGGCAGCTGGCTGCCAAATCCCAAGCCCAGGCTACCTGCTACCCACAGAAATCTCTCTCAGCTAATTCTCAAGGGGACCAGCAAAAGCTGCAGGCTGGATTTCTGGCTGGTCTTCCTGCCTGCCCTCCAAGTAACCCCCTCATCCTCACACTCTTGTTAGGAGAACAAGCTTCTGAAGGAGGACTTGTGTACAACACACTCATTGCTCCAGGCCAGCTGCTCCATCAGGGATCTGTGAAGAAGGGGAAGCTGCTGGGAACTCCTGGCATCCTGGTCTCAGCCCATGCCAGCAACAGATGAGGAGGCAGCAATGTGGGAATGCTAACTGCACGTGGAGTGTCCGGTTCATCTGACAGCCTCCTCTGCCTGTCGAAGGAACTGCAGGATTACAGGAGACTGTCTAGATGCTGCCATCCCAGGAGAAGTCAGAAGAGGAGCTCTGACCCAGCAAGGGCTGGGCAGCAGATGGAGAAGGCGTTCCTCGCAAGCCCAGCAGGTCGCTATCCTGACTGGGGTAGCAGAAACCCCAGTCTTCCTCCTGGGAAGCACCAGGCAGGTCTCCCTCACCACCAACAGGGATGTGCAGCTGCCACCCAGGCCCTGCAGCTCTGGCTGTATCCCACAGGCTGCCAGACTCGAGTGCTGGCCCCCCAAGCTAGGTTCGCAGCACTGGCCTCTAGAGCTGGGAAAATCTTTCGGGTGAATTATGTTCCCCAAAAATACAATTCTGAATGACCAAAAACCTAGTGAGTGAATTTTCCACCAAATCTGCAAGCAGTTCTGTCAGAGCACTCCTCTCGCTCACCACAAAGATTCTTTGTTAAAAGCTGAAATAGACTTGAAAGTATTTTCAGAAAAATAGTTTCAAAATTAAACACCAAAATAGGTGTTGGGATTAAATGTTCCTGAATTGAAGGGAAAAATAATAAAACAAGGTGAAAAGTTCCGTTTCAGATAACCCAAACTTATTATTAATTACAATTAATTTTTTTGAAGTCAGGTCTTCAAACATCTGTGTGAACAAAGCACCTCACAAAGCCCATTCACACCTCAAGGCTTTTGGGAGAACTCGGGGTTTAAAGAGCTGAGCACTGCAGGCTCCAGGGCTACCTTCCCAAGCCAGCCAGTACAGATTCTCCTGGGGAAGACCAATCCTGTTCAAACAGCAGTTGCTGTTCCATAAATCCTTCAGCAGCTTGAACTCCTCATTTAAGAGCCTAATACCTCACTATCAAGCACAGGGCACCCCTTTTCCTTTTGCTCGGGCTGCCAGGGTAGGGCAGTGTAGGCTTTATCTACTAGGAGTTTGGCAAAAATTCTGGTCTCACCAGGGACTTGCTTCAAGGAGAGGTGTTGGCTGTGAGACAGCCCATAAAATTGGTCTGCCAAAGGCGGGCAAGGGAACAGCATAACCCCAAGCTGGAAAATTCCACTTGGCCTCTCTGTGCCAAGAGGGTCAGCAAGGGCTTGCTGGTCGTCCTCAGAGGCTGCAGGTCCAGATGTGCCTGCTGGGTGCAGCAGAGAAGCAGGTGGCACTCCGGGAACAGAGGGGTGTCGAGAGCTCTGGGTTCTGGCCTCAGACCACTTGGGGCTTGCAGTACACAAAGTCCTGCCTTACCTCTTGCTTTTGCTTCATCCAAACACGTGCTGGAGAGGAGCAGCCTGCTGACTGGAGCCGTGTCCCTCCCCGTCACACCCTACACCCCTTTTGGCTTCTTTCCACGTGGAACTGTAACAGCACTCTGCCTTGCCTGGGTCATTAACCCCTCCAAGCACACAGCTGCTCTCAGCACATCTACAGCCCCTGCTGTACTTACGGGCCACACTATCCTACCACTGTACTTGACGACTGACTGGATTAATTACAGGGAGAACACAGCCCATGGACAGAGGTCTCGTAAGCTGCATTTGGCTGAGATGACCCAAAGGTGTCATGTCACCAACAAACCAACCTCCCACACCAGACACCTGCAATGCTCTGCTGAGGGGCAAAAGCCTCTGTTCCTAGCACAACCATGCTTGACAAGGCCCCTGCAAACACACAGAAAACCCTGAAAACATGACTTACCTGAAAAATCTTTAATAACGTTTTCATGTAAACCTTGCGGATGCCAAAGGAGACTCCAAAAATTGCTGGCACAATGATGAAAACCAGAAGCAGAGTGAAGAGGACAGTTATGGAAATGCCCAAGAGATTAACAACCAGGCTGTCAAAGGGGAGCAGGAGGAACATGGTGAAGGGCCCAGGCAAGGCTGGTGCCCTGCAGCCAGACAGAAAGGCTGCCCGCAGCGATTAACCAGTCCTCCTGTTATTCAGCAACAGTCTCACACAGGCACTGAGTCCACAGCCTGCTCACAGACCCCATTCCAAAGTTCACATCCTTTTCGGGCTCTGCGAGAGAGGGAACGCAACAAGATCAGGGAGAGCAGTTGGGAAAACAAGCAGACAGTCTGCCAGGAGCCCAGGTAAGTTCAGACACTGTGGGCTGAGGAGCTCAAAGAAGACGTAACATGCACATAGGTTCCTCCATGGGTGTGCAGCGGGCACTGCCGTGACACAGCTGCGTGAATGGATATCCTCCCCAGGTGCTGCTGAGCAAGTCCAGCTGTGGGGCAGCTTGTGAAGAAGCTGGCAGCAGAAACCCCGTCTGGCTGCTGAGAGCATGCAGAGTCTCTTCACAGGGACAAGGTGGAGTGCATCCCTGAGCCTGCATTGGAGGAGATCGAGGGAGGTGGCACTTGCAGGAGCCTACCGTACGTGGAGCTATTATTGTTCTTTCCGTGAGGACACAGGCACTAGCGCAGATCCTTGCATGACGCCTGGAACAAGTTTAATTCCGGAGGCCCCTGGCATCCACTCACACTCACACGAAGGAAGCCTGTGTCCCTGGAAAGCTCTTCAAACAGCGAGTTGCCTTCTTGGCAGACGAGGTACTCACATGCCACCAGCACTAGTAGAGGAAAGGGAAACCGAAGTCAGGCAAGTCAGGCAGCTCGGAGAGACGTCAACTCAGAGAGGGTGGCGGGAGGCCAGGGACAGTGGGCTCTGAAACCTGGAAGGCAGTGCTTGGGCCGAGGTCACATCACTCAGAGCAGCTCCTGAGACACAGCAGACACGGACTGGCACTCCGGCTACCGCCTGGCACTGTCACAGACTTGGGAATCACCCCCTGCTGCCACCCGTCTTGTATTTTCATACCACTCACAGCTTAGATTGAGCAGACTCATCCAGAACCACGCCTAGAGCACAGGATGCTGCAATCAGGTCCCGAGTACAGGAAAGGAGCCAATGGAGTGACAGAAAACCCTTCCTCATGACAAAGATCTTATCGCCTCTCTCATTTCAGAGGCATCCGAGAGCACTGAGCCAGCCAGGTACCCAGATTCCTGGGGAGGAATCACTTCCTCTATTCCGGTACACACATCTCAGCCCCCGGTCACGCAGGGCAGCTTTACAGGACAGGAAGTCAGCCCAAGGGGAGAATTATTGCTGATGATTAGCCAAAGTGGAACTTGTTGGGGCACGGGAACCAAAGGTGAAGCACTACAGCCTTTCTGGGGGAAGACACCCTCCGCAGGAGGGATACGCAGAGGCCAGCTGAGGCTAGCAAAAAGAGAGGAGTCTGCTTGGGGAAGACTTCCCTCCGGATACCACTGCCACCTGGGTACGGAGTGTCAACCTGAGGATGGCATTTAACAGGCAGCCAACAAGCACACAGGAGCAGAGGAGAGCCTGGGAAGGTCCTCTTGCTCCCCTGCACAGTGTGTTCCAGCTGCTGGCTTAGCAGTGCTATGCCAGTAGCGCCAAGAACATTGTTAGTGCTTCAAAGGAACATGCACGCCTGCATAAACCATGTCCTGGGAGAGGCAGCTCCACAGCCACTGCATAGCTGCCCATTACGGCAGAGCTGTCCC